CTCTGTTTAACTACTTCACTGCTAAGAATGTTCTTTAAGTAACTAAATGTCACTCTTGCAACATTTAGCCTTTCACCCAAAGAAAGCAGTCATTGCCAAGGCTTCTGTAGGGACAGCCAACCTCAGACTTTCTTGTGATTTCCTGATACAGAGTAATAACATTATTAAAATCCACCACCAAGTGCTAGGGAAACATTGAAATGTGGAGAGAAAGTATCTCAGAATCCAAAGCTTCCCCCAGAAGAGTTTAAGAGCAAACTGGGGAAACATGAACTCCAGCCTGGACCAAATGCTGGGCTATTGTGCATTGATGCTCCTCCTCAGATCCATGTCCAGCCAGGACGAACTGATCATTGTTTGTAAATGTCAATGCTTAGGAGACATTTAAAGGCCCTATCTCTTTCCCATTTTCAAACACATAATCTATTAAGTCCCAAAAGGTCAAATTAGTAACATTCTAGTGAAAACTGAGCTATCAGAGATTTGGGTCTCAGCAGAAGCCACCCTACAGCCTGAAATAGAAAAGTATCCTCTTAAACTCTAGTTTCTTTCTCTTGCCGTGGATACTCTCTGCTGACCTGCAGCTCTCAACTGCATAGAGCAAAACCTTTCTTTCTGATCACTGAGTCTGGGCTGTGTTTTGAAAACAACAGGCTGTGACACACTACAGGTCATGAAATCAGTTTAATGCATCATGACTAGCTTTTCTTAAAATGATATAAAACAAAAAGAAAATACTAGAGCACACCCAAACAGTAAAGCAAACACTGACTGCTTCATGAAATTTGATTTTGTATATGTAGGTTTGTTTAAACAGAATAGTAATGAAAAGTATACCTTTTACTTTAGGTCACAGTCAAGAGTGGAATGTCACTGGTCCAGCAAATATTAAAATTCAGTGTTCATCTCCTGGTGGGAGTAGGAATGGGTATAGCCTTTGTTGACAATACAAATATTGTATAAGTACTTGATCCCAAGGAAACAAACAGCTATGAAAAAAAAAGTACTAGAATGTTGTCTTTAATGTCATTCATTATAATTAAATAACTTGATGTAATGTAGTAGACTGATTGAATAAATTATGGCACACTACATGGTAAATGGCACCAGCCATTACAACTAGACTACAAAGGAGCAACCGTATCAACTCTTAGGTGAAATGGGAAGGTGATACAATTTTAAACACAAATGCATACAATGCAGAGAAAGAGTATAATGTAAGAGATGCAATTACCCTTGGAAAGTGTGTTTGTGGGATATATTTACTTTCCTTTTTGTGTTTTTCAAAAATTTCTACAATGGATATGCATTACTATTGAAGTTAGTAAAAATAGCACAATAAATGTGGTTCTCAATATGCTTTATTGAAGAGCTGTCCTCCACAGTCAGTGCTCACTTTAGAAACATCAGCACACATTAAAGTCAGCAGTCAACAGAAGCAGGATTTCACAGGGTCGTGTGCTTAGAGTATAGGCAAAAATTAGGTGCCGGGTATATTCACATCTTGATAAACTGTACAATGATTTCCCATCCTAGCCCTTTTCTCAAGCCCCTGTCTCCTGCACCACACAACAAAGGAGTCATCAAAATGGGCCTGTGCAGGTTTGAGAGCTAATAAATAGCACCATCACTCTGGACACAAGTAGCCTGTAAGCAATACCAGTGTTCTTTCTCTTCAAAAAGTAACAATACAGTCAGGTGTTAAAAAAAAGTATTGGGATGTAAAAAATAATAATAATAAAGCAAGAGGGCCCAGTTTTGTGGATTAATCCCAACTTCTAAGAGTAAGAAAGAAAAATGAATGTGCACAATATATCTGTCCACCATCCCATTTGCCATCAGTTCATCTCTCCATCTGTCCCCAAGAGCTTACTGAACTATAGCCAGATGTAGGGCTGTACCAATCAAGGACTTGGCTCCTGTCCTCTCAGCCCACATAGCCCAACCTCAGTTTACTCATTTGTAAAACAGTAATAAATTAGAATAAGTAACACTGTCACGTGCCTGCACATGCCAGGCACTGTGCTGTAGGCTTTGTCTCTGTGGACTCAATCAGCTGCCCCACATGGTTCTAGGGACTGAAGGGGCCATCTGAGCGCCCGCCTCAAGTAGTTGTGTGGTCAGGGTTCATTCCTTTTCCAGGGTCTAATTCTGGCTCTCTTTCCTCAATCCTTTCTTTCCCTGCACCCTCACTTGGACCCAGCTCATGCCCATCCTGATGTCCCTAGATGTGCCGTACCCTCCCACACCTTCATCTTGCATGCAACTGTCTCCTCCCTGCAGGTCCTCCACCACACATCAGAGGCTCTCGTTCACCCTTTATGTTGCTAAAGTGGCACTACCTGGGACTCCCTCCCAAGGCTCACTGTCCTCGCAGCCTGGCTGCTGCCCAGGGTCTGCCACACCTTGCCAGGCTCTGCATCCACCTTACATGATGGCAAGTAAATGAGACTATGTGGTGTTTTCTCTCCAAATACCCACAGTAGGCACATCATAAAGATGTCGACTGCCACTTGCTGGGTTCTCACAGAAGCATTTTATGCTCATCACCTCATATAACATAGCCCTCACAACCTCTACAAAGGAAGTCTTATCTCCCTTTTATCTATAGGAAATCCAAGGTGTCCTATTAATCCTATTCCCCAAGAGGGGAATAACTTGCCTGTGGTCACACTGCGGGGTGCTGGCTCCGAAGACAGTAAACGTGTGTTGAAATACACCTTTTAGAAGCAAGACCTACAGGCTGCAAGGGGGTGGTTTTCAGTGTCATCTCAGCAGCCCCAAGACTCAAGTACACACATCCTTACCATTCCTGAAGATTCCTGAAGAAGACACAGTGTGTGGAAGTCTGAACTGAAAAAAATGAGAAGATGCTCATGCTTGTTTTTCAACAAATATTTGTCTCTCTACCAATAGCCTTGTATTATGTATTGAGTGGATACGAGGGTGGGGAGGAGAAAGGAAGGGAAACCAGGGGCCCTGTACCTGGGGGCTGAGGGGCTCCCGGGAGGGCCCTGGTAGGTTCGAGGCTGGCACCCAGCCTGAAGAGCAGCCCTCCAGTCTCACATCTCTTCTGTAACACAGCAGGCAGAAGGGTTACTTCTGCCCTCATGGTGCTGGGCAGTGAAAACAGCATGACTGGACAGGGCCACAGGACAGCAGGATGAGGGCTGGTTGTTTAGGGCAGTCCCACTAGGGCTCAAGACTGACTGAGGGCGAACACTGCCTCTCAGAACAGAGCGCCGGGCCAGGTCTAAGGATGGAGCATCATGCAGGCCAAGAGAAGGCAGGAAGGCCCTGTGTAGGGCAGCTATGATGCGGGGGCCAAGAGACCTTTGGTCATGCCAGCCATGAAGATGTGAAAGGAAATGAGCCATAGGAGGGAGACTAGAAGACTCGAAGGCCGCAGTGGCTTGGAGTGGACCCTTGGGTTGAGTGACGTACCACAGGCTGCAGTATCTGTCTGCCCAGTGCTCCCAGCAGTGCCCCAGCCCTCCCCTGTGCAGGCTGCCCTGCCTCGGAGCACTTCAGGTCTTATCTCCCAGCTGCTGGCCTAACCCTTGTTGCTATGCTGGGAACCCTTCAGCTGTTCCCAGGTGTTGCCAAGTCCTGTTTGAGAGGCAGCCACCTCCCTGGAGCTGCAGATGGAAACGGGCCGCCAGCAGGGCACTAGCGAGAGTCATAATGAGATAATGTCCCTGGCCATCTGAGAGCCTTAGAGTCCACATGCCAGCTGTCACTTTCTTCTCCGTTCTTCTTCTTCTCCATGTAGACACCACACAACATCCCACAAGACCAAGCAACCATGTCCACCACCTCCACCACCATGGATGTGAGCACACATGTGACTGACTGCAGCCCCCATGTCACATGTACATGTTTACTGAGCCTCCTTCAGAGAAATGATCACACTGGTTCTCAGATGGGAGAACACAGGAGGCACTCATTCTCACCGCTGTTGTTCATGTGGGAGAAACCCTCTGGCCCTGCCTGCCGTGAAGGCCCAGCCTCTCTCACCTCACCCCTCCATGGTCTCCAGCTCTGATGCAGAGAGGAAGGGAGTACCCTCTCTAGACACTCATCCTTCACCTTTTATTTTCTACAGCTGCCCTTGACCTCCTCTTAACCCCTTCTTACTGAGGCTAAAACTCTTCACCTATCCCTTCAGGTTCAGCATTGGTGTTTGGAGGCAAATACTCAGCCAAGTTCAAAATCAAACTCAAGCCAAAGGTCCCTCTCTCCTCCGGGAGGCAACGTCTGGGGGACCGGGAAGTGATGCCATCCCAGGGTTGCTGACACAGGGTTGCCCTCAGGGGCTGAACCACAGCTGACACTTGTAGTCCTGCCATATGACCAAGTCACAGGCCCATAGCCCCAGAGCTCGCCTGTCTTGTCCTCAGAGACCCCACTGAGTCCCCCTTCTCACGAGCTCTGGGCCCCTACAAGGTACAGAGTCTCCTTGTATCCCGCAGTCACCTCTGCTCTTAGAGTGGTGGGAACAGGGCACAGATCCCTGCTGTTCTCAGTCCCCCTCAACCCCCCAAACATTCGTACTGGATCTCTCACCTCTGGTGCCCCTCACCACCCCGTCCAGTCTGGACTGAAAACACACCAAGCTGTCTACATGCTGAGCATATCTGGTGTGTCTCCTTCCCAGGATAGAAATTCCTGGGGTACGTTCCTGCTCTCTCCCAAGGGACTAAAACACTGGAGCAGAGCTTTGATCCCTGACCCTCACTGGCCCTTAGCCATACTGTCAACACCACCACCACCAAGTTTAATGGCATTTCCCACAGGCTCTGCAGGCCAGGCATTGCGGCCAAGCCTTCCAAGACACAGTCAGAATAGGTCCTGCAGCACTGGATGAGATGGACGTGACAGACAAGGCTGAGCAACGTACCCAGAGCCACAAGGGCAGTCAGGGTTTCTGCCTGGCACACAGTGCTCCTTCACATGCGCTGGGACATGGGGACCCGTGGGAGGAGGCCTCTGGGATTCACCACGCCTCCGGTGCACTCACAGCTGTCCTGCAGACAGCGAATGTTCTCCCAGGTGCTGTAGGCCTTCAGCCCTGCCACCAGTGCCTGCAATGGGCGACTGTGTACCAGCTCCTTCCCCTGGAAGACATCATCGTCCAGGAGGACCCCAGCATACCTGCGAGACGAGTAGAGATGTGTGACATGTAGCAGTGCCCCAGCACACCAGAAAGAACACAGCACAGGGTAAAACCCACACCTCCCTCTTAGCTCCCAGAGGCTCCACACACCCCTCAGAACTGTCATCCTGCAATCTGAAGCTTCCATAACTTCTTCACTTCTGTCCATGTTTATCCTTCTGCCAGTCCCCGCACAGGCCTCTGCTTACATGGGCACAACCTTAAATCTCTTCCTGCTTTTGTCTACGCAGATAACAGCATATTTCAAACTGTCTCCTACCCCTCATGCAAAAAAAATGTTTCATGTCTTTTGTGTTGTTAAAGGGTTTTTTTCAATCCTCACCTGAGGATATGTTCAGTGATTTTAGAGAAAGAAGAAGAAGAGAGAGAGAAGGGAGAAAGGGAGAGAGAAACATCCATGTGAGAAAGAAACATGGATTGGTTACCTCCTGTATGTTCCCCAACTGGGGATTGAACCTGCAACCTAGGTATGTGCCCTGACTGGGGGTCGAACACACAGCTTTTGGTGCATGGGACAGTGCTCCAACCAACTGAGTCACCTGGCCAGGGCTTGTATTGTTAATGTTTTCAATTCTACTTCCATGGAAAGTTTTGAAATGAACTGTGTGCCAGGCTGATGCATGGCCCCCAGGAGTGCAGGTGCTCACACCTGGAGGCTGAGACTTTGCTACCCACATGACAAAGGGGTTTTGCTGATGCAATTAAATTAAGGACCTTGAGAATGGAGGTTATCTGGGACTATGCACATGAGCCCAATGTCATCACAAGAGCCCTTCTAAGAGAGGACAGCAGGAGAGACATGACAATGAAGCAGGCAGGGCGATGCAGCATGAGAAAGACTCAGCCAGATTTCAAGATGAAGGAAGAAGCCATGAGCCCAGTGGCAAAGCAGCTTCTAGAAGCTAGAAAAGGCAAGGAAATCTATTTTCTTCTAGAGCCTCTAAAAGGACTGTGGCCTTGGCTTTTCATCAGTGAGACATATTTTGGAATTATGACCTCCAGAACTATAAAATAATACATGTGTGCTATTTTAAGCCACTAACTTTGTGGCAATTAGTTACAGCACCAGGAACAAAGTAATACAGGTTTTAAACCATTTCTTCCTTCAACATGCCGGTCCCTGTTTTCCTCATGTCTCAGCCACCTGTGGGTACGACTACTGTGCAGTCCCATAGCAATGTCTGGGCATTAGCCTCCACCTGCACACCTTTGCCTCGGTTCTGGCTTTCTTCTTTGCTCTCTTTCAAACCACCACAGCTTTCCCTCTCTCTCTTCTTTTGAAGACCACCCTATCAGCCTTGTTTATAAAGCATCTTTTCAAATGAGTCCTCATCTGTCACAACTGCTAGGAATAAAACTTCACTGAACACTCTCTGTGCTCAGTCAAACCCTAGGACACAGAGGAAGCCTCAGGATCAGGCAGTAAGGTCAAGGGTGGTTGACACATGGGCTGGGCACTTTCCTCAAAGCACCTTGAACTTACAGGAAGGATAGAGGAAAGTAGCCTGAAGCCTGGCCTCACTAGTCTTCTCCAAGGAAGCCAGATGCTGGAGGCTGATTACATTGACAGTCATTAGAGGTGTTGATTCCTTTATCGCTCTCCATCAACTGAGGGTCTTCTATTGAGATGATTGTCATATACTCTTCTTCTTTATAATAGTAGTATGTTCAATTATGTAGTTATTTTCAAATGTTAAACCAACCTAACATTCCTCGGATAAATCCCATTTAGTCCCTGCTTTTATAGGTCTTATATTTTACTGTACTGGATCTACTAATATTTTGGTCATAAGGGACACTGGTCTCATGTCTTTGTCTGGTTTTTGATGTCAGTCTAATGCTCCAATTAGTTGGAAAGTTTTCTCTTCTCCTTTATTTTCTGACAGAGTTTGTGTAAAATCAGTATGTTTTCTTTCCTTCAAAACTTGGTAGATTTCACCAGTAATGCCAGAGAAAGCTATTCAGATTTTCTATTTCTTTTTAAATCATTTTTGGTAGTATGTACCTTTCAAGAAATTTATCTATTTCATTTATGTTGTCAAATGTATTGCATGACATTGACATGCTATCAATAGCAACAATAATACAGGGTGGGGCAAAAGTAAGTTTACAGCTGTGTGTATGCAAAATGCAGTTTATTGTTATATCATTCATTAATTATTTTATTATTTTCCATCTAAACAACTGTAAACATACTATGCACGCCCCATATTTAATTCTATTCTTTGAACATCGTTGTTTTTTTTTTCTTGATCAACCTAGTTAAATGTCTATCCATTTTATCTACCTTTTGAAAAAGGAAAAGTAGTTTTGGGCTTAATTATTTTTTTCTCTCATTGATTTCTGCTCTCATTCTTTTTATTCTTTCTACTTACTTCAGATTTAATTTGTTCTTTTTTCTAGCTTCTTAAAATAGAAATTTACACTATTGGATTTAAACCTTTATTCTTTCCTAACAAAAGCACTTAAAGGTATACATTTTCCTCTGACAACTGCATTAGCCATATATAATAGGTTTTTATATGTTGTGCTTCATTTTCATGTTGCTCAAAATATTTTCTAATTTCCTTTGTAATTTCTTTTTTTTAAAGATTTTATTTATTTATTTTTAGAGAAGGGAAGGGAAGGAGAAAGAAAGGGAGAGAAACATCAATGTGTGGTTGCATCTCATGTGCCCCTTACTGAGGACCTGGCCTGCAACCCAGGCATGTGCCCTACACTGGGAATTGAATGAGCCACCCTTTGGTTCACCAGCCAGTGCTCAATCCACTGAGCCACACCAGCGAGAGCTGTAATTTCTTCTTTGGCCTGTGAATTATGTGTGGTGTTTAGTTTCCTAATATTTGTGGATTATTCTAAATATTATCCTGTTGTTTATTTCTAATTAATTTTGTTCTAATCATAGAACACACTTAAAAAAAGATTTTATTTGTTTATTTTTTGAGAGGGGAAGAGAGGGAGAAAGAGAGGGAAAGAAACATCAGTTAGTTGTCTCTCATATGCGCCCCATTTGAGGACCAAATCTGCAACCCAGGCATATGCCCCCACTGGAAATTGAACTGGCAGCCTTTCCCTTTGTGGAATGATACCCAACCAACTGAGAAACACTGGTCAGGGCCAGAGAATACACTTTGTATGATTTCAATCTTTTTAAATTTACACAATCTGTTTTGATAAATGTTCTATTGATATGTGCTATTGTTGGGTAGAGTGTTCAAGAGATGTCATTGAGATCAAGTCCATTAGTGATGTTCATATCATTTATATCATTACTGGTTTCCTGTCTATTTATTATATCAACTACTCAGGAGGATTGATGTCCACAATCATAATTTTGAATTTGTTAATTTCTCCTTTTCATCCTTCCCATATTTGTTTCATGTATTTTGAGGCTATTTTATAGAGTTCATACATATTTAGATTGTTATGTCTTCTAAATGAGTAGACTGCTTTATCATTACATAGTATTCCTCTTTATCTCTGGAAATGTTCCTTTTTCTAAAGTCTACTCCAGCTCTCTTTCATAGCTTTTTAGTGTTTGAAGGTATAAATTTTTTGCATACTTTTAGCCAATTTTATTTATATTTTAAGTAGGTTTCTGACAGAAAGCATCTACCGCTGGCTTGACTTATCATGTCTAAAAATGTGCAAATATGAGTGTTTAAACTACATATACCTACATGACTCTTTAAAACTATTATTTTGCGGAGAATCAAGATGGTGGAGGAGTGAGTGGAAGTCACACTGACCTCGTCCCAGGACCAACCTGGAATTAAAACTGAATTGTGGAGAAATCACCTGGGACAAACAACTGAACAATAGTAAGAGAGGGGCCTTACAACCTTGGAGACAGAAGAATCAGCTTTAGCGCAATATAACTGGTAAAGAATATGGTAGAGACTCACGAAAGCAGGTGCGGCACCCACGGGCGGCAGCACTAGAAGGATGCTGAAAGGGCCAGTTGGATCCCCCTGAGAAGAGTGGGGTCTAAAACAAAAGCAGGGACCTCCAGCCAACAGCACTAGAGCCCAGAAAGCACACAGAAAACAGCCAGCTGCGAAAAGTGTCAGGGTTGCTCTCTGCCAGAGATGGGCAGCTGGAGACTCAAAGAGTTATTTAAAGGGCCAATGAATAAATTTTTATTTGCAGCCACTTACATGGTCTCTGGCAAAGGTGGGGGCAGACTGGGCTAGAGACTGCTGAGGAGAGACAGGGGAAGAAGGCTTTGGGGAGAGAACTGAGAGAGTAGCTGTTAGGATCTCAGTGCTGACTCATCCCCTATGCAGCAGGATCCATCTCAGTCAGGCAGAGAACACTCCCCCTTAGCAGCAGCAGCAGCAGCAGAGGACCCAATAGCCCCGCCCCCAGGTGGGATTCCACCCTGCCCTGTGGTGTTTAAGCCCAGTGCAGGGCTGAGTGCAGAGTGACTAGATTAACAACTGAAGGAGACAGCCACAGACAGTAGATTCCTGGAAGTCTCAAACAGACTGCATAAGGGCAGACAGGATCAACATCTGACATCATCAGAGGCAGCTCCAGAAAGGAAAAAAAGAAGTCTCCTACCATAGAAGTTCACACCACAGTGTCAGAAAATCAGGACAGATCAATTTACAAAGCAAAAGCCAAAAAGAAGAGTCTCACAAACAATGGGAAAACAAATAAACACCCCCCAATCAAAGGGAAAGGAGGAATCCCCAGAAAGAGAACTAAATGAAACAGAAGCAAGCAAACTATCAGATACTGAGTTCCAAACAATGGTTATAAGGAAGCTCAATGAGCTCGGTGAGCTCAGCGAGAATTACAAAAATCTACAGGGAAACCACAAGGAACATACTGAAAACTATATCAGCATGAAAAAGGACATAAAAGCTATCAATAAGACACAAGAGGGAATAAAGAATGCAATTTCTGAATTGAAGAACACAGTAGAAGGAATCAAAAGCAGGTCAATGAAACAGAGGAACGAATCAGCAGGCTAGAGGATAAGATAGAAAAAAGCCCCAGAAATAGCAAGAAAATTAAATAAGACTCAAAAAGAATGAAGAAGCATTTAGGGAAATGCAGGACAATCTGAAACATAATAATATCCGTATAATAGGGACACCAGAAGGAGAAGAAGAGGAGGATAGAGAAGCTGTTTGAAAAAGTAATGATGGAAACTTCCTTAATTTGAGGAGAGAAAAAATCAAACAAGTCCAGGAAGCACAGAGGGTCCCATTCAAGAGGAACCCAAGGAGGCCCACTGCAAGACACATCATCATGAAAATGGCAAATATCAAAGACAAACAGAGAATCCTAAAGGAAGCAAGGGAGAAACAAGTAGTAACATATAAGGGAACCACGATATGGCTAGCAGCTGACTTCTCAACAGAAACACTACAAGACAGAGGAGAATGACAAGAAATATTCCAAGCAATGAAAACCAAAGGCCTGCAACCAAGACTGCTCTACCCAGTAAGGCTCTCAATTAAAATGGAAGGTGAAATAAGGAGTTTCCCAGACAAAAGAAGGCTAAAAGAACACATCTCCACCAAACCAGCATTGTAAGATATGCTAAAGGGACTGCTTTAAGAAGATGAAGAAAAAGAGCCTATGAATACCCAGTTCCTTTCATAGTCAACAATACTTGATATTACCAATATTTTTAATACTTATTATCCTGATTGTGACAATGATATTTTAATTGTTACTTTATTATTTGTTGAAACTAAACCTGTTTTTGTATATTTCTTGCCTATTTTTATTATTTTTTAAAAGCTTTAAATGACTTTTGGGTATTCTTTATTCATTTTTTTAATTAAATGTTTGTAGAATTTTTGCCTTAAGAAAAATCTATTAACCTGTTTTAGATGTGTGGCAAATGCTTTCCTATTCTATTGCTTGTCCTTTAACTTTTTTTATATGTTACTATATAGTCTTAAATGTTTAATATAGTCATATTGTCAATCTTTTATTTTATAGCTTCTGGATTTGAATATTTTACTTCAGGCTAATAAAAATATTATTTTGTATTTTCTCCTAACACTCCCTAGATTTTACATATTGATTTTTAAGTCACCTGAATATTTTTTGTAGAATGTGTTAAATAGGGTTTTGTATTTGTTTTATTTCAAGTAATAATAGTCCATGCATCTTATTTGTTGGATAAGCCTTATTTTACCCATTGACTTGAAATATCAATTTCATCATATATTACATTGTTAGACAGATATAGATGTTCGTTTCTAGAATGCTCATTTTATTTCATTGATCTACTTGATTATTTCTATGCTGGTGTCATGTTGTTTTAATTGTTGAGACTGTATAATGGATTTAAATTTTTTAATACTTTATAATAGATTTTGACACTTAAGATATAAATAAATAAAATCAATCTGCATTTTAAAAACATAAAAAGAAAGAAAGAACTCCTACCTTTTTCAACAACATGGATGGAACTGGAGAATATTATGTTAAGTTAAATAAGCCAGTCATTGAAAGACAAAAACCATATGATCTCACCTGTAAGTGGAATCTATTCAATGAAATAAACTAACAAACAAGATAAACCACAGGCATGGAAACATGGAGCAGACTGAAAGTGATCAGAGTAGATGGGGAAGGAGGACAATGGTGGAAAGAAGGAGAAGGAATTAAACAAAGAACATGTATGAATGACCCATGGACATGGACAACAGAGTGGGAATTGACTGTGGGAGAGGGGGTGGGGTGGGATGGGAGGAAGAGAGCAAAAGGGGAAAAATTGAGACAACTGTAATAGAATAAACATGTCTTAAAAATAAAAAAAAAATTTTAATAAAATTAAAAAGGCCAAAGAAACAACAAACAGCCCACACAGCAAGTAGAAGAAAGGAAATAGTCAAGATCAGAGCAGAAATGAATGGCATAGAGACTAAAAGAACAATTCAAAGGGTCAACAAATCCGGAAGCTTGTTCTTTGAAAAGATAAACAAAATCGACAAGTCCTTACACAGACTCATCCAGAAAAAAAGGGAGAAGACCCAAATAAATAATATCAGAAATGAAAGAGGAAAAGTAACAACTGATACCACAGATATACAAAGGATTGTAAGAAATAACTATGAATAATTATATGTCAACAAAGTTGAAATCCTCAATGAAACAAACAAATTTCTAGATAAATATAACCTTCCAACACTGAATAAAGAAGAAGGAGAAAACCTGAACAGACCAATAACAGCTCATGAAATTGAAGCAGTAATCAAAAAACTCCCGGCACACCAAAGCCCTGGACCAGATGGTTTCACAGGAGAATTTTACAAAACATTTAAGGAAGAGCTAACCCCTGTCCTTCTCAGACTATTCCAAAAAATCCAAGAAGAGGAAAGATTCCCAAACTCTTTTGATGAGGCGAGCATCATCCTAATCCCAAAACCAGATAAAGACACAACAAACAAAGAAAACTACAGGCCAAATATCGCTGATGAACATAGACACTAAAATCCTCAAAAAATATTGGCAAACTGCATCCAGCAATATATTAAAAAGATCATCCACCATGATCAAGTGAGAATTATCCCAGGAATGCATGATGGTTCAATATTCACAAATCAATAACTGTAATACATCACATAAACAAAAAGAAAGACAAAAATCATATGATCATATCAATAGATGCAGAAAAAGCATTTGATAAGATACAGCACGCATTTATGATAAAAACACTCACCAAAGGGAAATGAGGGGGCATACCTCAACATAATAAAGGCCATATATGAAAAACCTGCAGCCAACATCATACTCAATGGGCAAAAACTAAAAGCTTTCCCACTAATATTGGGAGCAAGACAAGGTTGTCTGCTTTGACCACATCTATTCAACATATTATTGGAAGTCCTAGCCATAGTGATCAGACACGACAAAGAAATAAAAGGCATCCAAATTGAAAAGAAGGAAGTAAAACTGTCATTGTTTGCAGATGACATGATAGTGTATATAGAAAACTCCATAGACTCCACCAAAAAATTACTCAGTCTAATAAGTGAATTTGGCAAAACAGCGGGATACAAAGTCAATATTCAGAATCAAAGGCATTTTTGTACACCAATAATAAAATATCAGAAACAGAAATCAGGAAAAAAGTCCCATTTGCTATAGCAAAAGAAAAGTGCCTAGGAATAAACTT